GCGGATTTATTATTGTGGTTGTAGTTGGCGGTGGTGTAGAACTGCACTAATGATACTTAGAGCTGTGTGCAATATGTTGTTAAGGTGTGTGAGACGGGCAAAATAGCAAACAATTCGTACTTTTTAGAATGATGTAGTGATCTTAGAGACTGCTATGATCTAAAACCGGAAATGAATCGCGAATCAATCAAAACTAATAATGTTTTTGTGACAGAAATTCATGTTTCCTCTTTTACAACTTACATGATTTGTGGATCTACAGTATGCCGTCACCTTTGAACGTGTATCGACAGCAGAGAACAAAGGTTAGAGAATATTGTTTATCTCTAAACATGAACTGTACACGGTGAGGTTGAGATCGGTGGGATCTTGTCAAGAGTTGAGCTCCCATCAAGTAATAGTACGATCTTGATCTGGGAAGGGCGAGTCACTATATTACAAACTACTTAAGCTCTCTGCTTGAAAGTATCATCTTACATGCTGAATGATGAGGGGGCACTACTGTTGTGGGCATTGGTGATGGCAGTCAGGCCGACAATGAAAGTGTGGACAGCAGTCATCAATACTCGTGTATTTTTATTGTTCCAGTTCACAACAAATGATATGTTCAGGCACTTTCTGAATTTGTGTTACACTTGGTGTCGATCAGTTGCCACCGAAAGCCCGAATCAAAATCGCCGCGTTCTGGGTGGAGTCCCAACGGTCACCCTGAGTCATGTGGGAAAGACTCCAGCCCTCTTAGAATATCTACAGAAAATACACAGACCGTGCTATACATCGAAGAGGTCGAAATAAGCAAGTACTTCTCTCTCGCTAGAGGAAACCTTGCACAGGTTCACGACAATAACAGCAGAATTATCCCAGCCACTTGAGGAGGATGAGGCGTGTGACGCATGACCCTGCATGCGTCACATGCCTCATCCATCAGGAAGGACTTCAAGCCTCAGCATGTCTCAACTACAAACAAAAGAGGCATTTTTGTCACATGATTACCCTGTGAACATCCCAGTAAAGGCCGCTCTCATAGGTGATCCTACTGCTGACACAAAGGTTCCATATATTGCTTTGCCTCCCTTAGTTCTGATGATTTTGTTTGGGGAAACACAACCTTACCTCACTGGTTGCACCTGTCTGTTATAATGCACCTACCTCCCCTATCGCTCACATTCAGCCTGTCTATCATTGTCATATACCGTCCCTGTTACACTGCACAGCGCAGCGAGGCGCGCCTTCGTCCAACCCATATGCGCCACCGCGGCGCAAGGGCAAGACGCCATATTGTGAAGGTCGGTGGCGCACTCCATAGATACCTGCTGCACCCGAATTGAAAAATAATCAATTCAGACGGATGACGTGCTGTGACATCATCAAAAAGAAGCCACACTCTGCTCGTCTTGATGGAGCTGCAGCTCACAGACGAGCCTAAACTTCCCCAGATCAGGCCATGCCATTAGAATTGGATGTGCCTCTATTTTTCTTTTAGCTGCTGGTTGTCTCCTCCTCCTCCCTCATTCCCATTTCACATTACAGTATAGACATAGCCAAGGCTTTTTACAAATACATATTGCTGATGCGGCCTATTTAGGTCCAAACTGCTGGGGGAAAAGTACCAGGCTACTTCCTGTTTGTTCCCTTTGCAATGAGCGCCAAATATGGGAAAGCTGGTGCCGTGCTGGTGTCATCCCTGTGCCGTCCCGCACAGTACCCCGCGGCGTGCGCTGTGCCACCTCAGCGCAGTATGCTCACGCCTCCTACTCCGTAGAACAGGGGTGTCAAACTCATTTCACACGGTGGGCCACATACGGCCTCGGTAGATGTCAAGTGGGCCAGACCATTAAAATGATACAATACTTTGCTATAAATAACCAAAACAATATGTCTTTCCTTTGTTTTGGTATAAAGAAGCACAAGAACATTAGGAAAATATTGAAATTTAATGAACATATCTTTTACAAAACATTTCATGAAGCACCTTACATTTCCTTCGACAAATGTGCAATTTACTTTTATCATTCACATATATGCATTGCAACTGATCCCACTGATTGTACAAACTTTAACAAGTAATTGGTATTGAAAAATATAGTAATGGACTTTAAGATTAAACAAGATTCATAAAGAAAGCAAGTTTTAAAGCATTTACACGTGCATATAAAATCTAAATGTAATCCCTGCCGACACCTTACAAACTAAGGAGAGTGCTATTAAATGTGTAAATGTGAGAGTGCGATTGATAGCGTCTGCTGTCATGGGTCTGTCTCAGTGACAGACTGAGGCTGCTTTTGTCTTCTTCTCTGATCAAAACAGTGTCCCCTTGCGGATACTCAATGAATTGCACCTGATTAAAAATATTAATTCTGTGTCTTTAATGCATTTTTTTCACTTTTACATTATCCTGCGGGCCTGATTGAACCTACTTGCGGGCCGGTTCCGGCCCGCGGGCCGTATGTTTGACACCGATGCTTTACATAATCATCTCGCGGGCCGGATTAAACTCTTTTGCGGGCCGGATCCGGCCCGCGGGCCGTATGTTTGACACCCCTGCCGTAGAACTTCATATTCTAGTGAGGCTTCTATACGTCCTCAAAATGTCAAGTTGTTCCTTGCTCAGTCTACCGTGAGCTCCTGAGAACACCCACTTATCTTTCCCAATCTTGATGAGGCGATGCCAAGAAAAGTGCCATAAAACCACCTTGTTCAACCTTTAGACCTTTTACTTGCAGTGGATGATAATCGCTCGACTATCCACACCACTGCAAAACTCACCTTTAACCCCATTAGGTTGAGAATTAAGGCAGCACTAATGGCCTGGGCGTTAGCAACATTTGGCTCACATTTCTGAAGTCCAGGGTTTGAATCTTAGCCTTCCTGTGTGGAGTCTGCGCACATTCACAGGTTAACAGAAGACTCCTAATGATGATGAAAATCCACGATGACAGGCAAAATTTGTTTTTGTGTCTGAGTTCGATGAACCGACCAGCATGTCATTGTTATAACGTTTGGCAGAAGGTCTCCCCCTCTCAGACCTCTTCTGGAAAAATGGTGTGTAAACTCTGTTTTTAATCCCTCTGTTATCAAAAGCGAGGGCAGTTTTACTTTGTCAGCTCAAGACAAATGCAATTCCTCCACTCTCTGTTCAGACACCGCCTCTCATTATTGATCTGGCACACCACTTTCACTGTGTCTGCCTATTACACTTTTCTCTTTGCTCATGTTCTTTCCACTTCCTCTGAATGTGCTTTTTTTTTTAGATTCATAGATGCCCTTTTAACACAATATTTCTTTTATGAATTGATCAAATTTGACTTGGTCAGAAGTAGGGATAACTCTGTGCAGTGCAAACTGTGCATTTCTTACACAAATGAAAACCAGGCTGTCAAAATTAAGTGTGGTACAAAAAGAAAATAGTTTTTTTTTTTTTTTTTTTGTCGGAATAGAGCTAAGTGAATAACTGGCACATTAAAATAATCATCTGCCCATTATCTGGTATGTTATGGCACAAATCAATAAAACCATGTCACAATTAATTTGTTTGGGGGATTGGACTGTCAATTAGATATAATGCCATATTTTTTTTAATAAAATCATGGAAATGACATTTTGAAAAAAATCCAATTTATCGAATAGTTGACAAAACAATCAACAGATGGATCGGTTATTAAGTTGCAGCCCTCTAATATGCACAACAACATAATTTCCTTTGCTGTTTACATTATTACTTCTGCCTGGGTGGTAATGTTGTTCATGTTTTATGGAAATATTACTTATCCCATGGGCATTAGGAGGCTTTTGTTTCCAATTTGGCTTTGTTAGTAGTTGACACTTTCGAGTGGTCTTGTTTGTGCACTGAATTCCATTGTTACATCTGCTTTCCTTGACACTTGAAGCATCTTGCAGAGAGAATGACTCGAGACATGTTTGTGCTTTTCCGTCTTATATTTTTCATACTTGTCTTGAGAGGTGTGACACTGAACACTCCTGAAGGTATTCAGTTACACTTTGAATGGAGATGAATGATTTGTGTGTATGTGTGTGTGTGTGTGTGTGTGTGTGTGTCTGTATGCATTTTCAGGGCTGGCTGCTTATCCGTAGGACAGCATGCTCCAGTGCCATATCAGTAGGCGTGGCCAGTCTGAGGGCCAATCCTGGTTGTGGTTATACAGCTGGTTCCCCAAATTCATCGAGTCCACACACAGAGATTCACAGCCTGGGACTTCCTGTAGTTGGAGCTGGATCAAAGCTGGGTGGCTCCTCTGCTGAGTGCCTACTTTAACCTTAATAACATCATTCTCTCGCTCTCAAAAGAATTTCCTGGCCTTGTCTTCTCTCTCTCGGATGGTTTACTTGTTTTTGGCCTTCTGGAGCACAGCATCGCTTTAAGGGGGTCCACTTCCTACAGGGGGCAAAAAGATAAAAAAGGTTTCACTCTCTACAGCTGAAACAAGTATTATCAGTGTTTGAGCGTTTACACAGATCCGTTTGGCGAATGCCTTCTCTGCGGGTAATCCAGGCTCAACAGCTTAGAGACAGCAAGGAAATCTGCACACTCAAGTGCGAGATGACTTGCTCAATTATCTATATGGTGGGAAAAGTCGAAATTATCCATCAAGACAATACTGGACTTTTTTTTCCTTTTTTTTTTTAATGGTGTGTGCCAAGTGACATCACCATGAAGCTGGTTGGCAATGCCCACATGAACCATTGACCTTTGACCTAAACTTATATGGAGCAGGTTAAGCCCACTGTGCTAGACAGACAGATGACCTGGTTGATTTACTGTAGCTTCCCAAGCGAGGTATCACGCCATCATTGCTTTCTCACATCCAGTTTTGCTTCAATTGCAGTTTGAAATTGAGCTTAACATGAAAACCTATAAAACGCTGCAACGTCGCTTTGAGTTTGCTCGATAATGGTTCAGCCTGACTTCAAAGGTTTTTAAAGGTTAGCCTTGTCTCTGATCCAATGTCGTTTTGATTTGTGTGTTTTTTTTTTTTTTATAGAAGCTCGCGGCAGAATGTCAGAGCGCAGGATACAGCGGCACACTGATCCCCTACAAGTGTGACCTGTCTAACGAGGAGGAGATCCTCTCCATGTTTTCAGCCATCAAAACGCTCCACAAGGGTGTTGACGTGTGCATCAACAACGCCGGGCTGGCCCACAATGAACCCCTGCTCAGTGGGAAAACAGAAGGCTGGAGGAATATGATCGATGTGGGTAATCTGCATCGCACATGCACACAAACACATTAATGCTTGCGCTAAAACAAGATGGAGGAACATTCTGAAGACATTTAGAAAAGGACGCTTGTTTGCATGATTGACTTTAGTGGGTGTACCATTTGAGCACAGAAGCAGGAAGCAATAAAAGTTGTCCGCTGCGGAGTACGTTTTTTTACACGTAAGGAGTTGAAGCGTTAAAGCGTAAATCCGTCGATAAAATGGGGATCCTTGGCTTTGCTCAAACACAGTAGCCCACCCCTCACAGAAAATCTCCTTTTGGCTCTGGGGAGTAAACCTGGCAAGAGCAGAGCCCCACTCATGAAAGCCAGCACCATTTCTCTTGTTAGACCCAACTATTCTGATTCACTGAGCTCTTGACCACGAAGGACCCCGTGCTCTACAGTTTCCAGGGTCCAGCATTGGGAACGCTCGTCCATCTGTTGTCATGGCAGCCCAAATGACCGTGCTGTGCCAGTGTATTATATTTAGCCCGTGTTTAATCTGCATGCTGACCCGATTTGGTCACCTTGCCCAAGCTTGCTTCACTGTGGAATTTAACCTTGCGTCCATCAGTTTCGCTACAGAAGCAGCTTAGACACACAAGCAGGGTGCAAAGGGCAAGTTGTGATGGGCCAACATGGATAGCCAGGATAAAAGCATTTACTGGCCCTCTTAAATACACTAATATACACTTAAATACACTAATTGTACACTCTTTGTAATCATTAGTAGGACCATGCAACACACGAGTGGAATGACTATCCATCCATCCATCCATTTTCCGATCCGCTTATCCTCACAAGGGTCGCGGAGGGTGCTGGAGCCAATCCCAGCTGTCTTCGGGCAGTAGGCGGGGGGACACCCAGAACCGGTACACAGAGACGAACAACTATCCGCACCCGCACTCACACTAGGGACAATTTAGAGTGTTCAATCAGCCTGCCATGCATGTTTTTGGATTGTGGGAGGAAACCTGAGCACCCGGAGAAAACCCACGCAGGCCCGGGGAGAACATGCAAACTTCACACAGGCCGGAGCTGGAATTGAACCCGGTACCTATGCACTGTGAGGTCAACGCGCTAACCACTGGACCACCGGGCCGCCCTTGAATGACTAGTGGTTGTAATTATTTTTCTTCATTACTGTCTTCCACTACTGTATTACATTTCCGTGCAGCGGAAGAAGGTCTCGCGTGCTCTAGTAGGGCAACCAAGTTACTTGCGAGGCGAAACTGTGCACTCGTTGACAATTGCGCACTAGTAGTGCCTGTGGCGAAGCGCTACAATCATAGGTGTCAAACTCCGGTCCTCGAGGGCCATCTTCCTGCATGCTTTCCATCTCGTCCTTTTGCATCACACCTGATTAAAATGATTAGCTCATCAGCAATCTCTGCAGAAGCCTTATAGCTATCTTTGATGAAGTTCTTTTTATGATCTGCAGGTGAATGTCCTAGCATTGTCCATCTGCACCCGGGAGGCTTACAAATCAATGAAGGAGAGGAATGTAGATGACGGTCACATCATCAATATCAACAGGTACAGTAAGTTGGGATAAGCACTTCTCTCTCTCAGTTCTGAGGTTCATGGTTTGAATCTTGGCTTCGGCCAAGATTATTATGCAAAAAAAAAAAAAAACTAAACTTACAATTCCCAAACGACTGTTTGACATGTTTGGTTTGAATTATTTCATTCATTTTTGTTAACTACAATAACATTGCCCAGCGGTTTGCCCACCGGACCACCGTGCAAAGTTCAGAAGTGTCACTACATCTGCAGTATTGAATCTTTTATTGAGTGTTTGGTTATTTTCAACTTGTACTGTATGTTCCTCTTCCTGTCCCTGTTACAGTATGAGCGGGCATCGATTGGTCCCAAGTGCTGACAAGCATTTCTACTCTGCCACCAAATATGCGGTGACCGCTCTGACTGAGGGAATAAGGCAAGAACTAAGGGAAGCAAACACCCACATCAGAGCCACTGTGAGTGTGTTATGCGTGTCATATGGCGATGAAATAAGAGTTGCAAATTGGTGTCTCTTTTTCCACCCGTGTCCGTGTTAACTGCAAATTGGCGGAATTTTCATAGAGGCATGTCTACACTTAGCGTTTACACTGTCGCTTACCTAAACTATTTTAGAAGTGTAAGAGCTATGTGGGAAAATTTGCTTTTACAAAGATAATAATTGCACTTTGTAAGTTTGACTGACACTAGATGTATTACAAAATCATGTTTATCATTGTAGTTGTAATTAGTGGTGTTGTGTTAGTGTAGCTGTTTTTTTTTTTTTTTTTTGCCCCGCAGGCTTCACCAAATTAAGGTTGCGGTAGACAAAATATCAATCAGAGAGATTTGGCAGTGAGTAGTTTTTGCAGACCACAAGTCACTGTTGAATATGGAACTTGATCACATTTTGTGCTTTTATAGCATTATTTAGATTTCTTCATGAGCCAAAAAAAAAAAAAGTCGCACTTTCTGTGAATAGTATGATCAGGCTTTCACTTGTACATTACATCAAGTATGAGAAGATGCCTGATGGAATACAAAAAAATTAAAACAGTTCTCGGGGTCTTAATAACATACCTAAGGATCGATATTATCAATATTTTTCAGCCGACAGACGTGTCGCAGACAAACATACTATCTCATAGCCGATTTTGAGTTGTCTTGTTGCGTCATAGCCCAAGAACTGTGACATGGTCAGCGACGCTATGTGTTTGCTCTATTTTTACTGGTTAGCACCACACAAAAGCCATGCAAGCCTTTAGAGAATTCAGCCCTCGGTATACTACATAAATATACATTAATACTTGTATGCTGACGTACGTGGGGGGGGGGGGGTCTGTGAAAGACAATAAAAGCATTTAAACACTTGGGAGGCAGCAGTTTAGTGTGTACAGTACCGTATGTGGCGCATTACTAAAAATAAAAAAAACTCAGGCCCTCACTTGAAAGTGGCCTCGGATCTCCAGCACAGCTGGTCATATCGTTGGCAGAGCAATTCGGCGGGGAGTGGTTATTATGTAAATTGGAGCTGGTACATGACAGCAGGGCGGAAGTACAGACTGACTGGCTCACAGATCCATTTTTAGAACTACAGTACGCAAATAAACAGCACACTTGGGAGGGCAAGCACTCCACAGGCCTGACTAGTTCTATACGATCCATAGAAAGTCAACCAAGCTTTTCTTAGTCTTCAATTTATTTTCTTTTCCCTTTTATGTAGTGTATATCACCTGGGATAGTGGAGACTGAATTTGCATTCCGACACCATAACAATGACCCAGAGAAAGCAGCTGCTGTATACGAGAGTATTAAAGTAAGCAACAACTCTCTTTTACATTTGAAATAGTAGTACGAGTACTTTAACTTTTTTTTTTCCCTCTCGAATGTGCAGTGTTTAAAAGCAGACGACATTGCAAACGCGGTCACATTTGTCCTCAGTGCCCCTCCTCATGTCCAGGTAATGTCCTTTCATGTACTTTTGCTTTATCATCCATATTTTACGGGGTGGATCGCGTTGTTGACGTGTTGTCATTTTGCCCGCAGATTGGAGATATTCAGATGAGGCCAGTCGAGCAGGTGTCCTAGCAGTGAAACGGTAGCAAGACCTGCAGGAGGAGCCCAAAATTCAGCAGCCACGGTGACTCATTAGCGACCTCTGCTGAGTGCGGGTGGAAGTTGGGTTGAAGTAATAAATCGGCTACATTGGTTTTGGGTGTGGAGGAACTCGAGGAGTCAAGGAGGCTTGGAGGTCAGGGTGTGGACTAAAACCACGGTGAAAATACTACTGAATGCAGCCACCGTTTGTTTGTTCACGGAGTCGACTCCCAAGTATAACAGGAGTCCATGCTGCGCTGTGTGGACATTCATATGACCATAACTTTGCAAGAAGACTATGCTATTTGACTGCACATTTTTTTTTCATATTACATATCTATTTAAAATTAAATGGAAATGGTAATTGTGTATCGATATTAATTATTTTTTATTATTTTTATAATTATGTTGACCTCCTGATTGATGATAGGCAGATCTGCTGTCATAGAAAAATAACCCTAGAGTGTACTGTGGTGTTTTCACTTTATTTATCTATTTAGCATTCTGTAAGACCTGGCACCTGTACTTACAATGTCGACATATTCACTTAATTTTTGATTTAAATCTGTCCACTTTTTGCTCCTACGTGTGGAGTCAAAAAAGAAGAAAATATACATAGTAATAATGCATGTGCAATTCCTGCAATCGGACGTTGGATACCGTAATTTCTCGAGTATAATGCGCATAGCAAGTACACCCAACATTGCCCTCTCATAGCTGGATTTTCCTTGTACCTGTGTATAATATTGTTGGTATCCATGTTCAAAGAATGAAGTGCAGTATTATCCGCACAGTTGGAGCAACCAGTCGTGCACGTGGTAGAACTCCAGTAGAGTACTCGTGCATGAGAACTCACATTCCTAAAATGAGTCGTTGGTGGTATATGTTGGCCTCGTTTCGCCGGCTGGTGTTGTGCTGCGTGGCAGGTGGGAGAAGTTGCAACATTCGCTAGTTTTTGCAGTGTTGCAAGAAGTTTCCAAAGCGAAATGTTCAGAGGAAGCCAATTGGGGGACATTGTTGTATTGGAAAGTAGGCAGAATATATCAGATGAACAGGAAGAGAGCATTAGCTTCACTCAGCGAGTATCTTGGCAGACACGTAACACGTTCATCCGTGATATGGAAGCCGAACCAGTTCTTTGGAAGGTTAACAATTTATTTGATCAATTTTTTTGTATAGACATTTGTAACATTAGACATACAATAACATATAATTTTGGAATTAAATTACACCTTTCCCCCCCACAATCCTTTGGTACCAGTATACATCTACGCAATATGACTTTTTTTTTTTGTTTTCCATTTTCCTTGTATCTATTTATTGTACTGACCATGGATTTTTTGAATGACATTTTTTGAATTTAAAAAATGGGATTATACTCAAGAAATTATGGTAACTTCTGTCCTGCACTTTGAATTAAATAATTGCTCATGAGTTATTTCAAGGCACAATCCACAGATGGCATATGGAACTATGTACAGTAGGTGTGTGTGTGTGTATATATATATATGTATGTATGTGTATGTGTGTGTATGCAAACTTATATATATATATAATGTATGTGTCTGTGTGTATGTATATGTACACACACACACACACACACACAAAGTACCTTTTGTCATTTCAGTAGGAAATTATTAAACACTTCTGTTGCCTGCCTATATGTAAACTAGCAAAGAGGACAGTGTCAATGCCTACACTGTATAAGACTTAATTGTACTCTGTCCATGTAAAGGAAAACCTATTGCACGTCAAAGTGTTTTTATTACGCTTTACATGCCATAAGAGAAGCATGACCTGTGTATCTGATAACAGATGTATCACTTTAATCAGAAACATTGCATTTGACCTAATAAACGAGTCACCCACACTGAAATTGTCCTTGGTGGTTTATTTAGCATTCTAGAAGGGATGTAACACAATATGAAAGTTTGGGTAACGCTTCATAATCAGTACACACTAATCAGTATTCGTTAAGCATTAGTAAATACTTAACTCATTATTTATAAAGCATGTTTAAAAAAAGTCTAGTTATTTTTACTAACTACATACGAATGATTATTCATGTCAGAAAAATGCTTTATAAATGATTAACTCAGTATTTACTTAATGCTGATCAGTATGTACATATTATAAAGTGTTACCAAAGTTTCTGCTCACAAAAATGTCTGCTGTAGAACTGATTTTTGTCATTTGAAATACTATCATCGTTGCATTCGAATGCTATAGTTAAATACAAATACAGTACAGTAAAACTACAGTATTTACAACTCATTCCTGCTGTTGCATGTGACATTATAACTCTTGAGTTCAAGGTAGTAAAACGTTTGAGCCATCACATTTGGTGTATTATGCATCAGCATAGAGCAGCAGTGTTTAACACCGAGAGTGCACGCAATGAAAATAATTGACACTGATTTGCTCAACACAAAACAATAACCTGACCATTGCCACTCCACAAAGCAAAAAGATCCCTTTAGCCGGCCGGCCTCATTCGGCAGGTTTTATTGTAGACGGATGCTGTTGCAGATTGCGGTCACGGTTGGGTTTCTATCACTTCCTCCCCTTTCATAGTACGGCATTTTGGACTTTTCATTCAGGGCGTATGGTGTGATGGACAACTTGAGTTTCTGTGGAGGAATGGGGGAAATGTACCAACATGTTGATGACATGACGTTTTACATCGTATACTGTACAGCACTGTGCAAAGGTCATAGGCCACCACTACCTTTGTTGTTTGAATGATCAGTCGGAATCAGTAATGTACAGACTACAGTTAGATGGAGTTTTTTTTAAAATAAAACACGGTGAGCATTTGATCTGGAAAATCACATAAAAGGAGTTTATTGTAACTGATTACCGTACTTAAAAAATATATACAGTACTTATTTAAAATTGTGGCATTTAATTCTATCTTTGGCCAGAAGGTGGCAGCACATGTTTGTCTTAAATGGTGTCAATTTAAAAAAGACAAAACGGAGAGTTTTAGTAAACTCGCCTTTATTTTTTGCTGAGATTCGGAAGAGATTATTGAATGGCTCCATCCTCTATCACCCTGCGTGTTACGCCTACAGAAAGCAATGGCTCTGAGTTCACTTTATAATGTACATCTTTGGGCATGATTATTGATGTATATTGTGAAATATAATTTGTTTTTTTTTGTTTTTTATGTGTATGCATTATTTTAAAGTGTATTTAAAGAAAGTGCCATATATGCTAGAAAAACATGCCTCGGGAAGATTTAAATGTTTCTATGTGGGTTTGCTGTATGCTGCAAATATTTTGACATCACCTGCACAAAGGAGCCAGGAAGCACCCACAAAGTGTGAATGGTTGCCAGCGGAATCCAAATGATGGAGGCCAGTGCAATGACCCAGCCAAGCCCTTGAGCCCAGGGAGGGAAGACGTAGCCTTCGTAGCGAGCTGGTTTGAACTGGATAATGGAAAAAATGAGGATAACCTGCCCCCACCCCACCCCCAGAAAAGAACCCCATTGAGTATAGGTCGTATTCCAGAGTGACATGGTACAACAGCCTGCTGACTTACAGTGATCAGAAAAGGGGCGATGATTTGCCAACACAGTCTGAAGAAGATGCTGGGCCTTTTCCCCGTCATCTCTTCCAGGTTGTCGGATAATCGATTCACACCTAAACACAACAACAGACAGCTAAATACAAGAACGGACACTGAAACATACAAGTTCACTCCCTAAAAACATACAGGAATGACATAATTTAAGAGAACCACACAATTTTTGTCACGCTCCATCAATTGAATGGCCCACTGTACTGCTCGTTCTGGTGGGCCTTCCTTGGCCACCTGCGGGCAGTATAAAACAGATATACTGTTCATTGAGATGTCTCAACTCCTCTCAGCTCATTAGTGCGGCACTAATTAGTCCTTACTTATTAGTCGTTCTTTGTAAAATGTAATGAATAAATCACAGCGAGTACTATCATTTTGTCTGTCTACATGTTATGGCACCACCAAATGGATGCAATTAAACGTTAGCATTAAGCTAGCAGACTGAGACGCTAATATATGTGGTTGAAACTACAAAATACAAGGTGTTGAGTTGTGTTGAGTTTGGCAGTAAACTTCAGCTGGGAGTCACAAACAGGTTGAAAACTTTTTGAAGAAAAAAATTTGGTGCTTAATTTCAAGTGAGTTGAGTTCAGATTGCATAGTTTCATTAAACCCACTTTTCCTTTTGAAAAGAACAAACAGCTGAGCTACTCACCATAAAGCCAGCAAATGCCTATCACCTCAAAAAATGCAAGGAACATGATGGACACGATGGCAGTGTAATGATCCATCAGCTGGAAAACATAAATCCCCGCCTGCAAAGATATTCATTCTCTATAAACTGTAATCATACATTTAGCAGCTGTAGGAAAGGACATGTTTTACCCGCGTCACATTCGGGATTCCAAGAAGACACGCGATTCCACAAACTGCAAGAACTAACAGCTCTTTCTTCTTGAAGAACTTCAGCAGACGCTGATTGGATTGATCCATCAGACTGGTCACCATCACTTCAACCATGGCAAACTGGCCAAGTGGAAAGAAAACATTGACTGATGGCTATTTATTTATTTTTTTTTCACCTGTATTATTTAGAGTAGGGTGTGATTTCGTCTATACCTCGCTGTCAATTCCGAGGAAAAGCAGCATGGAGAAGAACAACACGGCCCACAGTTGAGGTAGTGGCATACTGGTAAAGGCTTGTGGATAAACAACATATACAAGTCCTGGACCTAGATAACATATAAATGTGCTTATCAAAATAATGTACATTCATCAGTGGCGTGTTGTCAGGACCTTTAAAGTCTTCTCTGATGGCCCAAACACTGTCAGAAGCATTGACCGATACATTTACAACTTACATCAAATGGTAAGAATTTATTTCCAATCGTCTTGTGTCATGGCTGCTCAATTTCCAGCTGTTTTTGTTTGTTGCTGTTGGGGTTTTTTTTTGTGTGTGTGTAATCAGATTTTAGCTTCAATATGTCACCATGTTAATGTAATTTGCCCAAGGGCTTCAGAATATCAACGACAGTCATGCGGGGAAAATGTGTCTTCATTTTAAAAGTCACAAAACAAGGCCTACTGGCTGAGCTTGTGATGTTGGTATTTTTCTGTCGCTGGATTGCATGGTTCAACTCAGTAACTGATTTTCTGGGGGGGCACTTTAATAGCAAAATGTATGTATGAGTGGCAGTTATTGATCAATATTGCTTGTGAACAGCTACCTCTATACTGTAGTGTAAATGTTTGGAGGTGACGTATTGGAAGATAAAAGTAACTGTGCTTTAGTAATAATGGTATTTATCCAGACGCAAAATGTTTATGTCTTTTCATGAATTTCAGCATAGGGTTTTGTGTTGTTTTTTTTTGGTACATTATTTAGCAACATAATGGTGTTATTAAAAGGTGAATTAGGCCACTTAAAATACCCACTGAAGGGGCACGTCTCAACCTTACAAACACCCTCCATTGAAATTAACACTTTAGACACTTTTTGTGAATGCTGGATTCGTTTCCTTACTTACCATCCACAGCCAACTGGGCCACCGGAATGCCCTGCAGATGAGACATGTAGCCAAAAGCCGAGAATATGACAAATCCTGACAGAATACTGGTGAGGGAGTTGACGATGGATATCGTCAGTGTGTCCCTGTGTGAAAAGAGAGAAGGCATCTTTGTACTGCATCTGTTCCAAATGTCACATGGGGGGGAGGGGGGGGGGCTAATGGGGATGGCAGGTGGCGCTTTTACTTCATAATGTTGTTGTTGAAAGTGTTATAGCTGGCCATGGCCATGAGGAAACCGAATCCTATACCGATGGAGTTGAAGATCTGGGCTGCAGCGTTCACCCAAACCTGCAAGCAGACAGAGCGATACACCAAAAATGTATTGGTTCATCACGAACTTGTATGGATATCTGTTTGAGCTTTTCTTCAATATGCTTAAAGCCTTCCACATACTATGGGATTTTCTTAACTCTGCTTTCTTTGTACAGCACTATGAAAAAAAAATGCTGGGAAAAAAAGTGCTGTGCATAAATAAAAATCAAGTTTAAAAGTCAACAATAACAACAACAACAACAAAATAATAATAATAAATGTGTCTTTCTCACTTCCACTGAGAGGAGCTTGTCCCATTCTGGCACAATGAAGAAGGTTATACCCTGAATTGCCCCAGGAAGCTGCACATTATTGACCAGCAGGGCAATGAGGATAACATATGGGAGCAACGCTGTGAGGTACACCACCTGTACACAAAACCAAGAAAGTATTGAAAGAAGAGTTGTTATTCACCTCGCATCGGTGTCACGTCCGCTCACTTTGCCTGTGGATTTGGTCCCCTTGAAGATGCAAAGATAGATGAGGATCCAAGCCAGCACGAGGATAAGGAAAAGGTCCCACCGTATCTCTGCGGCGTCCTCGATTCCCCCCGTTTGCTGCAGCATCTTATATCTTCATAGAAAAATGCATGTCAACAACTTGGATGTAAAACCAATGGAGGGCGGCATGGACTGAGGTAATGTGCTCACTTCTGTTTGCGGCAGTGAAAACCTGCCAGCAGACATTATGGGTCGCCACAGGAAGTCAATAAAACTGATTTTTTTTTTTAATTTATAAATTAATCTCCAAAGTTAACTTTGACAACCCTAATATACATGTATATATACATCCATGTGGATTATATTTATAAAATTGCATGTAAATTGCCCCCACGTGGCACCAGAATAAGCATTACAATGTCTATTTGACTAAAACAAAAATAAAACATTTTTAGTCTTCAGATTGTATTTAATTGTATCATTACTGTTCAGTATGTATTTATAACGTACAATATCACAGAGTGCAATTTTCTTACTAAAATTCCAATTGAATTTTAAGGGGTAAGAATAGATGAATGCCTTTTCAATGAGGAACAGATGATTCTTAATTTTGTTTTGAATTACGGGAGGAGCCACAAGAAAAAAAAAATCTCATATCTCAAGACTGTATTGGAAATCACGTGATCCTTTTTGTTGGTTGTTTTTATGATCTATCCTCTTGATTATTGATTGATGTATTTATTTTTGCAGGGCATGGGGGTGCAGGATTCAGCGATACACTGTCCAAACTGTGCATGCATGCATGCAAAGAGATGTCTAATATTTACGAGTGGCTGTAACTTTAACTTCAGAGTTTTGACCCCTCCTATCATTTTCACTGATATCATTCACATGGTGCACGTGATAAGCTTACACTGTTCTCCACGCTGTAAACGCTTTCCTTTGTAACTTTTGCCGTTTTGAGCATTTATTTGGATGTTCTTGATGTTGTTCTAGGATTCAATCCAATGCTTGAGTAAAATGATTCAGGCGCACAACTAAAACGTCTGTGCTGTCCAACAAAGTGCATAACTTTGTTCCACTTCTACTACTCTTTGACATTTCTGCACACTAATAGGACATCTTTGAAATACTAGTAGGACAACTACATGTTATTTGTGAGGCTACAAGTGCCCATTTTGGTGCCCTCTAATCGGGCCTCGTTGCTATTGCAGCACAGTAGTTTACTATTCAGGTAAATTTGTGTACTGGCAGGTCAAAAATTGTAAGAATATTGAATAAATGCTCAAACGACTTCCCACCCCGAAAAACATACTTGAAGAATTCCTGGCTGGCCGGAGACGAGTAGCTGCCATTTGTGGCCTGATCTGTACAGTTCGGAGTGTTCCACGTGTTGTTGCAACCCTGCCAGGGAAGCGGCACTTGGAAGGAGCTGAACAGATAGTACAGGGCCCAAGTAATGACCACGTTGTAGTACGTGCACATGATGAAGGAAATGGCCACGGATGCTATTCCGACACCTGTGCGACAGGAATATGGATTCAGTTAAAACAGTACCACTGCCATCTCTCATGGAAAGCATGTGATAGCCTATCATACCTTTTAAAAGTGGGCATAGTTGAGCAAGAGCATGGATAGGTCCTCTTTTTGTATATTGTCCAATCGTTAACTCCATATGGAGCAGAGGGATCCCCAACACAACCAGCATAAGAAAGTATGGTACCAGAAATGCACCTGCGGGGGAATGATTTTAATTCACACTTTGGGGAAAATGAACCTGCATTGAAATCAATTAAAGATCACTTACAGATAGTACAGAGTATGTCTTAGTCATTTGCTCACCTCCTCCACTCCTGAAGCAGAGGTAAGGGAACCTCCAAATGTTGCCAAGCCCCACGGCGGAGCCAATGCCCGCCAAGGTGAACTCGATCTGGCTGCTCCATGTCGGTCTGCTCTCTTGCTTGTCCATGCTTGCTACCACTGTCCAAGCGGTTGCTCTTCTGGGCCCTCACTCCATAGAAGAGAGGCAGGTAGTTTACGTGATGCTGGTTGACGTCACTTTTTATTGTTCTTAATGATTAGCAGAAGGCCTACTATATAAATCCAGTCAGTGGCTTGGGAAGAGTTTAATGTTTAATGCCGTCGCAAGCTTTGAATCATTCAACCATCACACTTCCATTTTCATTTTGTTTATCCTCACAATCATGCTGTATCTATTTCTTTCTATTTTCAATTTTTTTTTCTTGTTCTCCCATGGAAAACATGATTCCAAACTGAATTATATGATTTTTGTTGATAGCTAGCTAGATTCTGTCACTTTTTGATGCCAACATATTTAGCCTACATTTGATATAGTTCCGATTTTTATATTTTATACAGTATATGATATTCTATTACATTTTATTGCATTTAATAATGATACTACTACTACTACTACTACTACTATTAATACTACTATTACTACGAATAATAATAATAATAAATAAAAATAGCAAATGGTGGCCCGGTGGTGGTCCAGTGGGTATCGCATCGACCTCACAGTGCAGTGGTATTGGGTTCAATTCCAGCTCCGGCCTCCCTGTGTGGAGTTTGCATGTTCTCCCCGGGCCTGCGTGGGTTTTCTCCGGGTACTCCGGGTTCCTCCCGCATTCCCAAAAAAAAAAAAAAAAACATGCACGGCAGGCTAATTGAGCACTCAAAATTGTCCCTCGGTGTGAGTGTGAGCGTGGATGGTTGTTCGTCACTGTGTGTGTCATGATTCGGTTTGGGACCAACAGGTGGCACTGTAGGGCTGCAGCTGCACACCTGTTGGTCATTAGGTAATTAGTGCTTTAGAAGGACTCCCAGCCCGACCACTCATTGTCGGGTCATTGTTGCTCTTTGCTACTGTCAAGTTTGTTTGTTGCTAGTGATGTGCCCGACTGTGCCGAGGCTCCGATGCGTGTGCCGAGTAAACCGGAAGAAAATCTGCGAAGCGCGCTTCGAGGCATGTGTCGATTACACTTGTGGCCACGCCCGATGCCTCGGAACGCGCGTTGCTCCGCCCGACGCCCCGCGAGACGGGATTCTACGTCACCGCCAACAAATAGTTTCGCGGGTGAATCGAAATAAATCCGGCGCACCGGGACGACAATGAGCTCACAGGTGACGCTGACACGCTCAACTCGCATCTCCAAACCTCAACTCATTCCGATTCGTTTTGCAATGGACGGCTTTGGACGCACCCCACCATCCACAACGAATAAGAAGAGAACATCCCCTGTCTGGGATCATTTTGAGCAGATCTCCCCTAAAAAGGTACGAATTATAACCAGTGTGAATATATATTGTAAATTATTGTGACAGCACAGTGCATCCCTCATTATAATGTCTTTCTTCGACTTGCTGATATTTCAAAAGGTGAAGTGTACGTTTTTGGCACGAAAAAAACGACATAGTATCGTAAGGCGTTTTTAGCCAAAAAAAACGACATCGTTTAGTAAGGCGTTTTTAGCACGAAAAAAAACGACATAGTATAGTAAGGCGTTTTTAGCCGAAAAAAACGTCCATGTATAGTAAGACGTTTTTAGCACGAAAAAAACGACATAGTATAGTAAGGCGTTTTGGCACGAAAAAAACGGTCCCCTGTCTGGGATCATTTTGAGCAGATCTCTCCTAAAAAGGTACAAATTATAACCAGTGTGAATATATATTGTACATTATTGTGACAGCACAGTGCATCCCTCATTCTAATGTCTTTCTTCTACTTGCTGATATTTCAAAAGGTGAAGTGTAAACTTTTTCCAAAGAACTTGGGTACCAAGAGAGCACGTCGTCTATGTTGAGGCATTATAGGGCCCTGCATTAAATAAGGAGACAACTCAAACAGAACCACCCCCAGGTAGGGCATTTTAACATGCAATGAAAGAACAGCATAGCCTACCATGTGTATTTCAAATGTGACAGATGAAATGAATGACATCTATCACTAACTCTGTCTCTGTTTAAACTGCAGTGAATAAGAATGCAGTGGAAGAGGCATTAATCAATATGGTGATTGAAGATTGCCAGCCCTTCAGTTTTGTGGAGGACACAGGGTTCCGGAAGCTTATCCAAGCTTTCGACCCTACATATGTTCTCCCCACCAGGCGGGTGTGTGAGAGCACATTAATCATTTTTCCCCATTCCCCCATAAGTGCTCTTCCAATAGTGTTCTTTCTCATTTCCTTTAGACTTTGAAAGCCATGGTGGAGGAGAGGTACCAGCAGGCAGCAGGCAAAAGAGAAGGCCCAAGAGCTCATAGCAAAGTCCTCTGCTGTGAGCATAACAGCAGATATGTGGACCAGCATCAACACAGATGCATATCTGGCAGTCACCTGTCATTTCATTGATGAGCACACCTCTCTGCACTCAGCTGTGTTAGGTGTGCTCCATTTCCCTGACCGCCATACAGCTGAGAACATGGCTTCCGTTCAATCGGCACTCATGGCACAATGGGGCATTTCCACCAAGGTAACTTGCCTTGTGACAGATGGTGCAGCCAACATGGCTGCATGTGCCAGAGACCTTCATCTGCGCCACACATATCTGATCGTGAAGAAGGCTCTGGCAGAAAACACTGAGCTGTCTGAGATCCGTCTTCAGTGTAGGAGGATAGTTGGCTACTTCAAAAGCAGTACCACTGCAAAGGTGAATTCCTTTATTACACAGCAGTATTCAAATTAATGCAAAATGACTTGAATAATGTTTTGTTTCATATTTAATTTTTATAGACAAGGCTGACACAGGTGCAGGAGCAAATGATGCCTACAGAGCCTGTGCTGAAGCTCATTCAAGAGGTAAGTTGACATCCATAACTGCTTCCACTCCCCTTTCAAACAATAATGACCTTTTATTTTCAGGTGGAGACACGCTGGAACAGCACCTTCCACATGTTGCAACGAGTGTACAACCTCTACAAATTAGCTATAACCTTTCTCTGTACCCCAGCCTCATCCGTCCCTTGTGAAAGACTATTTTCAAAAGCAGGAGAAATCCTATCGAAGAAAAGAAACCGTTTAAAGCCAAACACTTTGGAAATGCTTGTTTTCCTCAATAAAAATGAATGAAAGGTGTATCTTGTTCCTTGTTTATGTCAATGTCTAAAATAAAGCAATCATTCTTTCAAGTAACACACGCACATTCATTCACATCACAACTCCCTGCCCTTTTGACTCCATCAAATCCATGGTATTTTAATCACTGTGTCATGACATTTATTTTCCACATAATGGCGCAATAGAACAAATGGAGCCTCATGATGCATCGGCCCAGGACCGACCCAGTTGGATGGAAAGCCTCATTGCTTCATGAGGCTTCAGATTCCCATCACTATTTGTTGCTGTTTGCTGTCATGTTTGTTTCAGTCAGGTTTTGGTCATTGTTATGTTTTATCTTCGGTCATGTGTTTTGTTTGATACTTTGGACTTTGTTTGTTTTGGATTTAGTTTTCTGAGTTTTAATACAATCTTTCAAGTACACCCTGCTCCTCCCTCCTGCCTGCTTTTTGGGGTCCACCACCACCTTGCAACGTGACAGAGTGCCCTACAATTGGCTGGCAACCAGTTCAGCGTGTCTCCCGCCTACTGCCTGAAGACAGCTGGGATAGGCTCCAGCACCCCCCGTGACCCTTGTGAAGATAAGCGGATTGGAAAATGAATGAATGAATGAAAAATAGCAATTATTGCTATTATTATTTGTAATTGTTTTAAGATTTAAGTGTAGCCTATTATGTTTTTGTTTTGTTTTTTTAATGTCATATAAAAACATCATGGTGCGTATATTTGTTGCAATGCCTAACAGCCTGTCTTCTTCAGGATTGCTATTTTAAGCATTGTCTCGTGTGCTAGCTAATATGTTAAAGATTACTGTCAACTCATACTTCCAGGATGATACAAAGTGCATTTTTGACACGTGAGCACCCACTACTGTGTAAAAGTGGAGAAATGATAAGCATTATCATTCCTCTGGCAAGTAAGCTATTTAACCCACCATGATAAGAATCTGCAAACAAATTAAAGCTTGGTCACTGAGAATCCATCCAGTAAATCGCAGGGCACACATAGACAAACACTCATTCATGCTCACAATCACACCGACGGATAATTTTAGAGTGTTCCGCTAACCTGCCATGCATGATTTGGGAATGTGGGAAGAAGCTAGAGTACTCTGAGAAAACCCACACGGGCACGGGACTAACATGCAAACTCCATACAGCAGGAAGGCCCGGAGCCAGAATCGAGTCACTGAGAATCGGGATTTGGAATTAAAGAGGTGGGTGAGGATACATTGATACTTTTTGAATTGCTCAACATAAAACTACAAAGAAGCACGCTGTCCTAGTGCTTCGCATATGTCCCTCACAGTGGAGAAATTCAGGGTTGGAATCGCGCCTCGGGCCCTCCTGTGTGGTGTTTGCATGTTCTGCCTGTAAATGATGAATGAATGAAAAACAAAACAATTAAACGATAAAATTACAAAGGAGCTAATTTTCATGTCATATGGGAAATTGTTTCCTAAGATGTCCTGAATGCATATTTTAAAGTTGGAACAGTTTGAATCGTTGAACAAATCTGGAAGACGTAAACACCCAAAAAAATATGTGTAATAATAATAACAAAGAATTTTGATGCAAATGAACAAGTCTGAATGCTTTCCTTCAGCTCATCTTGACCAGAGGACCCTGTACCGAAGTAAAACATTTCTACAATGCTGTTTGCTATTTGTGAGCCATCTGCTGGGCACAGGAGAATACTGCTGAGAAGGGCAGGGGGATTCTTGTTCCAATTTTTTTTTTTTTTTTTTTTTTTTTTTTTTACAGTGTGCATGTATTATGTATTGTATGAAGATATACATGCGCTGTAAACAAAAAAAAGTTGAGTGAACTCAAAATTTCAAGGCAACAAACTTGGATAAAATCTGAACTTGGGCAATCCAGTTAATTATTTTAACTTTTGCTGAAGTGAAAATCAACTTCCCCGCATTTCACAAGAGTTTAGAGAACTGGTGTCCCTTGTATTGTCCCTCAACTTAAAGATATAAGGAAAAACATTTTAGCAAATTGTTTTGGAGCCAACAACTTCCTTGCTTTGATGTGCTGACCAACATTGTCGCTGTAAATGTCAACAATTGATATTTTGGTCCAGTCGGGGTACACCCTGAACTTGCCAGTCAATCGCAGGGCCCACACAGAGACAAATAATCATTCATGCTCACAATCACATCCCGCCCAATACAAGTTGTATACCAGCAGTAAGAAGTTAGATTGTGATTGATATGGCGATTGTATGTGAAATAAATGCAGTTTATATGAAAGTGATCAATCAACGACTCAAAAGTGCACAACCATCCAAGCAGGTGTTGGCATGATGCAATATTCTCAGGCCTGCATGAGGCAATGCTATATCAACATGCTGGTTCATAGTGGGGCAATATGGGTCATGTTGGTATAGATCCCTTTATTTTATGTCAACTTTGGCTGGCATATTGTTGAAGATTTTTATGTTACACCTTTTTTATTTGAAGGTGGAACATAATTTGCACACAATTATTCATGCCATTTAAACATTTTTTTCATCTCTCTCACGTGCTCTTTTTTACAGACAAAATATATACAATACAACTTCAAGCAATCCAATTAACATCGTTTACATACACACATAAAAATAATTTCGATGTTAAAATAAAATTATAATAGTAATAATAAAGGAAATAAAAATTATGCATCTTTTAAGACAGGGATATCCGTGAAAGTCTTTAAATATTTCTGAATAAATCGCAAATATTGATCGACATTTTTATTTAGTATTAGATCAAGAGATTTAAAATAATTCTCTCTCTCTCTCTCTCTCTCTCTCTCTCTCTCTCTCTCTCTCTCTCTCTCCCTCCCTCCCTCCCTCACTTCCACACAGGGAACGACACCTTTACGTCATATCCTCTGTTGTTTGGCCGTTTGTGAAAGATATCTGGTAAAATACCACCGGTCATCAAGGTACCGTAAAACAAAGATCTGTGTCGAGAATAAAATAAAAGGCTCAACGCTGACGACAAAGCAATCCACATGAACTGACGTTGATCACTGAATATTTTGAAAGTTCCCAGCGGAAGCGCCGAGTGTAGAGGAAAAGTCGATACGAGTGTGGGTGTGGCCGTGGCTGGGAGTTGTTTCGCCGATGTTGTGATGAAATAAGTACCCGGGTTCGTGGGTGAATAGGGGGAAACGTACACTTAACGTCTTCTTTGTCGAGTATTTTTATTAATTTTTCTTAACATGGGAAACTGTCACACCGTTGGACCAAACGAGGCACTTGTGGTTTCAGGTAACGACTAACGACTCGCGTTTTTTTATTTTAAAGCTCCGCGGCCTTTGCCTAGTTTGAGCTCGATGAAGGGATTTAAGAGGCGGGCCTTGGGGGGCGGTTTCTTTTACCTTCACTCGATAAATACTTCTTTACAACGGTTAAAATCAATCTCACTAATAAACACGACACACGTGCATAACATCGATGTAGCCACCTTTGACGAACTGACGTAAAAACATTTTAAAAAAATCGTAATTCCATCTGCTACCGATTACGTAACATCCTCAAGCGTTTGCGTTCCTCTCCGCTTTTACGGTCTTTGAACGTTCTCATAAACACAATGTCACAAACATTTTCCTCTTTAAATATTCCCATCAACTATAACAGCGCATGCGTTTTAGTCTACTGGTGTTCTGATGACGATGATTCCTAGCAGAGATCGGACAATTTCCTGCCCCTCGTGTGCGCCTGTGGTTTTGGTCTTTTTCGAAAATATGCTTGTTTTATGCATTAAAAACTGAAAAACAAGCCAGAGGCTAAGGTGGGGGGATTTTTTTGTGAGCTTTGCGAATTTCTTAGTAGTCGTACATGGCAGTTGCGCCCCGCCGAGGGAATACAGTTGAATAAATTAGATTAGAGGGGAGAGGCCCATAAAGTCCTCTTGGCATCAGTGCAGCTGGTTGTGCACGACACCGAATGGGAAACGCGGCATCAACTGATCTTTATGCACTTGGACACAAACAACTGAAGCCTTCCAACTCTTTCCATTTTGGTGCATTTCACAGCACAGTCCGTCCATCCATCCATCTATGCGTCATCCATCCATCCTCTGACCCCCTTATCCTCACTAAATAAGCAAAACATCATATCTTAAAAAGTGACATTGGCGATAATTTATACAATCCACCGCTCAGTCTATAGTAATGGTAACGTGTTTCATTAAATAGGACAAAAATGGGTACTAAATATTGAACTTTATGATTGTCCACAGATCGGCAGGCTATTTTTTTTTCAAGTCTAAAAAAAATATTGCAACATAGCTTGGCTATTGTGTGTGTACTTGTAGGATAGTGAACTTCCGTTCCTTGAGAGCCATATCCTGTCTTATTTTAGCTATCTCCCTACAACAACACACCTGACTCAGATGAGTAAAAACACAACTGATTCTGATGAATAGCTTAGCTGTGAATTGTTGTGTTAACTTTGGGAATCGCCAATACCAGTAAATGTGTGTTCTTAAATTTGATCATGATAGAAAATAATTTTCCATATTGCCCAGCGCTATCTAAAGGTAACTTGCCTCTACCAAAATGATCCACACGGTGGAGGAGTTGTAAGTACTGCTGCCTAACAGCAAGAATACCCAGGTTGAATTAATTCTAGCATCGGTGCTGTCAACACCTGATATAAGGCTGTTATGAGTGGGGTTCACATTCTCTTCCCGTGTCTGTGTGATGTTTCAACCGGTCCTCCTACAACTAAACATGTGCAAGGTTGATTTCCACTCAATGCCTTGAGCTTGGTACTGACGAGGTCCGGTTTCTGCATTGCTCCCCTATGGGGTAAATTCTAACAACCAATGTGTCATGAAATTACCTTTTTATAAAGTCGTTTTCGAATCCTGAATAGTCTAATGTTGCAACAATTGCGTATTGATACCTCAACCGTAGGAAATTTGTGACACTGGCCTTGGTTGGAAAAACCTTGAACACAACTTTATTTGAAAAGCCTGTTGTAGAGATCTTCATACTTGTGATTTGGCTGCGTGCTGTTGCACACTTTTGCAAGTGACCCAGCCCAACCAGTTTCCTCTCTCAAATAAGTTTGATAACAGCACAGAGAGAAACTCTGGGATTGAATCGAACGTCCCCACCCCCCGCTTTTTATAGAATGCAGTCAGGAATGTCAGTTATGCCACTGCTAGCAAGACATAAGCGCAGCGTCTCTCGAAAGATTCTAATTGCCATTGACAGGCACTTTATTTTAACCGTCAACCACGTGCCACCCACATCCGTTTATACAAATACCACAGGAATAAGATCATGTGCCTAAAAACAGTTATAGTACTTCTTTGTGCAAGAAAATACTTCTCTACTTGTTACAGCTGCTGAAAAACAACAATGACTGCTTCTTGTTTTTCAGAGGAGCTAATGATCAACTAATAGGTTTACAGAAGTCAATGCAATGAAACCGTCAAGAGTTAAACATTCTGCTTCATTTTAAAATAGTTTGTTCCACAGTCCATACTGTCATATAAAATCTTTTAAGTTTCCAAGCAATATTTGATATTGTGTTGTGGGATCACTTTTGTCTCAGACGCTCAGGGATTATTTTGAAGCAGCCTTCAACAAGCGCTCTGTGGTCCATGTCCACCTGTGCTGCAATGAGGACGCTGCCGTGTCCTCTGTAAATAATTAAATATTTCTTAAACTCTACTCAAGTAAATAAATAAATATTTCTTAAACTAAACTAAACTTGTGAGTGGAGTGTTTTTACAGCAAAATAATCGCTCATTCTTTTTCGCAGATATGCACGTCGGGAATCCCCAACATACCGGGATGAGCGGACAGCTGCTGATTTCATACCTTTTTTTTTTCCCCTACACCTTTATGAGCTAAGATTAGGCCGCAAATTGGCAAGATTTTCCTTAAAAAATCCCCATGAACTCATAACACCCAAATACTGGCCTCTGATTAGTCTATTGACTTTCATTCATGTAGCGTAATGTATAATAATCATAGTTATACGCCAGCGGGCTTTAGCACCACGAGTAGGTGACGGCCATGTTGGCAGGGGCAACTTTCCCACAAACGCAACGCATGGCTATTGTGAGCTTTTGCTGATACATCATTGGAAGGCTAAAATCATTCCTTTTGGTTATGCCAAAATCTCATTTCTGAAATATGGATCACTGTGACTCATTTTGCTGTGCTGAGTCAAATGTTGTTTCTTTCATTTATTCACATGACACCATCTTTACTTAAAAAAAAAGTGGATACAGTTAAAAGAAAAATGTGTGTTAATGTTGTGATATTGGTTCAAGGGTTCTTGTGATTTTTTTTTTTTTTAAGATATTAGTATGGCATTGAAGGCATATTTTCACAAATGATTATAACTCCATATTTGATGAGCTTTACATTGAATAAGTTCTGATACTACCCACAAGAGTCGAAAAGTTAGTTGGCATTTGTATCTTATTTGACAGTATCACACCAGTTTAAGTTTCATTCAGGAAACACGTGAGTGTGAAAGACATTTGCCTTCTAACCTTGTTGAAGTGAACGTTGTACAACTCATAGATTGTGTTGGGGTAAATATAGGCTCGTGCGTGAGTAGGTGTCTGTAAATATCGGTTAGCTCCTCCCCATTTTCTGTCTGTCAGTAAACATGTGACAGCTGGGAATGCTGCTGAAACACTCACACTGGAGTTAAACCAGACTCAAACCCTTTGTGATGTGTTGCTATAGCGAAGTGCATTCTTTCTTTCAGTTTCCAAAACAGTGTTCCTTGAAATAGGATTTCTTTCACGTGTAATTTTTCTCCTGCATTCTGGCTTTAGATGTCATTCCCTCAGGAATTATAGGATTGTGTGTGGGTGTGTTTAAACACTGTAACAGAATTCCAACAGCACCGGTGCTTTTAAATCCTTAAAATGTGCTGCAAAGTTTAGATGAAAGCCGTTTGCATGATTACTCAACTGTCGTTTGTGGTTACCTGGGTCAAATTTGATTGCCTTCACTGTACAAAAAGCTAGTATCATGGCTACATGTGCTCACATTCCATTTTTAAATTTTTTTCTGTACGATTATGGTGACGGGAGGTTCATGTCGTTTGTGTTGTTCCAAAGGTGGCTGCTGTGGCTCGGATCAGAAAACATATGTTGTCGGAGGCTGGGCTTGGGCTTGGTGGCTCATCTCGGACATCCAGAGGTAAGAGTGGTCTGCACATTATCCCAACAATACCAGTTGAAACATTTCCAAAAAAAAAAAAAACAGCGGTTGGCTGTACAACTGTGATATTTTGCTTCTGTGGGGACCTATCTGACTAGATATGTGCCCTTAATTCCACCATCACGTCGCTATTGTGAATGGTTACATTTCATTGTTTGTCAGGTTTTCGGCAAAAGCAACCAGCAAGTACATCAAAATCAGATTGACAGTGGAGTCATTGTTTAAACTTGTTGATACCTTTTTATTGCTTTCTTGGCAATGGCTCTATGGTGCATTATTTTCTGATTGATTACGATCTCTATTCAACCGGATGGCCAACGTGTACATAATACGTTACTCCTTTTTAATCTATTTGCTTGTATATTTCCAACTGATGTCATATTCATATTCCATTGTGGCTGAAAGGTCTTCCAGAAAGATACAGCATGTTCACCACCGTCAGATGGATTGAGGCTCCAGCTTCAGGGATGGCCCTGGAAAACTGTAGATGGGAATTGGGTTATGTTCTAATTATTCTAACAATAACTTGGCAACCTTATCATTACAAGCATTAGACAAAGATAGACAAGATCTTTTATTTATTGTCTCAACAGTGAAGATTATAAAACAGTGACTGATAGTTCACCCATTAAAGTTAACTCTTTGCAGACCTCGCAGCTTAGGATTGTCAAAGCACTCATTCTCCTCTCAGAGTTTCTATTTAATTGCCATTAATGAACTACCTGCTTCAAAACATTTTGTCTGTTTCACTAACTTACGTGGACTAACTTGGCGCTAATATTCATTTGCTTGTGGAGCACCTGGTTTGAATGTATTGGTGATCTAATATTTGCTTGTCTCTCTGAGAACCTGCTTTCCCTCGTGTGCGCCTCAGCTCGACTGTGTCCGCTTCAGGTTACCCATTTCCAATTAAGAACCGCACTTCAGTGTTGCTTGGAAACGTCATGGTAGACTGCAAAAAACAAAGTCAAGTCAATGCATGGATGGGTTTATTCTAAACATCATTCGATATGACAGTCACATTTTTTTTTTTTTTTTGCTTCTTGGAGGATGACAGCAGAAGGAGAGCACGAGCACTTGAGCTAAAAAGCCTTGTGCTTGGTGGGGGGAGGACACAATCTCTTCCCGCTTCTGATGCAACAATCACGTTAATGTTTGGGCCCATGACTCATTGATCCAGCTCTCCCGAAGAGGAGGAGGGAGTGATGTGTGCGCCTCAGCTCGACCTTATTGGAGTCAAATCCCTCTGCCGTGTGCTTATTTGTGCTTAAATCCCTCTTCATTTTAAAAGGACAGTTCTGGTTCTCCTTTTAATTCGACAATGTAAAAAAAAACCAAAACAAATAATGATGATTTTTATTTACAAACTGAATTTTTATTAAAACTAATAATGAGGTAATTAATTATGAGGTCATATAAATACAAACCCAAAACCAAAGGAATCCCTAAAATCCAATTAGCAAAGAAACACATGGAAACAGGAAACTTGACCAAACTAGAAATATGACTTCCAGCCACCTTGATCTGAAAGAAAGCGAGGAAGTAAATACAAACAAATTGACAAGACAACGAGGTACACTTGGTCATGACACGAGTAACGGGAGGGAGCTGATTGGTCACAGCAGCACTGACAAAAATAACGAGTCTTTGCAGCTGAGGCAGGAGCAGCGGGGCTGACTTTGACCTCTTTCTCTTAACCCCGGTGACTGACCTTCCTAACGGCTGTTGTCCAACTTACTGTTTTGCCTCTGCTACTGCGGCCTGCCTTCCTGTCTGCGTAGAATGTCTCTGGAGGTTATGACCATCCTCTGTCGCTGTGAGAATATCGAAACCTCGGAGGGTGTTCCCCTGGATGTGACTGGGGTGGCCCAGGTAAAGTATTTTCAAGAGACCACCCCGACAAAAAAAAAAAAAAAAACAACAACAAAAACAGCAGCGGCTGGTGCTCAAGACCAAAAGAAGATGCTGCAAAACTGGCTCAACTAATTAGCTAAAACCTGTTTACGTGCGTGTGAGAGTGTGTGTGGGAGTGTGCGTGTGTACGTGTGTACGTTCTCCTCTACGTGGCTTCTCTCCTGTCGTCAAACGAGGGCAATCAGCAGTCACTAACATTGTCGTGAAGCTGCACTCTGAAAAATATATGGCAACGAATTCGATAGGAATGGCTTTGGAAACAGAGTCATACAAGTTGAGGTATTCCCGCAGAGCTGCATTTCAAAATGATTTCAGCAAACCCATTTCAGTGGTTGGTTTCGGGGAGCATCGCATACTCCATTGTTAGTGCTCTGGAGTCCTTGGGTGAATGGTTTCACTTTGTCCTGATTTTTTTTAATTTTATTTTTTTCTCCTTGTGTTCTGGCCCCTCGCTTCATTAGCTTCCCCTTCGAACATGCCTGTTTTTATTTTATATTTTTTTTCCACATTCTTCACAGGATAACGCTTGAGATTATGACCCTGCAGCCCAAGTGTGAGGATGTAGAGACAGCGGAGGGTGTAGCTATTACTGTCACAGGGGTGGCTCAGGTAAATCACCACACTGCTTCTTTTTGGGAATGCCAGTTCAGACTTACCCCGCACCCTCACCCTGTCGTCCCCTGCATCCCAGCAACTTCCTTTGGTCTGGCATCACCCCATAATCACGTCAGAGGTGGTTTCATACAGAGGGCTCAGGTTACCATACAAACATTTTTTTTTTTTTTTTTTGCGGGGGCTGGGGGATTAGGGTGGTTTTTGAATGACATTTGCTGTAGTGGAAAAAAATCGTCCAACTTTGCTCACTGTGAAGACGCTAATAGTGGCTGGTTT